CTTTTTGCAGACCTCTCCTACTTCACCACGCAGCCAGCTCTTACAGCAACTCAGAGAAGCGGCTGGTGGGCATTACGACCACATTGTTCATCCATCAGGAAACGGAGGCCCAGAGAAATGGGGTGTCCTGCCCACAGCGGCCCAGGAAGGGCTGTTTGTGGAAGGGCACCGAGAGTGGTCGAGCAGATGGAAAGAGGGCTCGTTACCAGGCAGAGCTGGCACAGACACCAGGCCCTGAGGGGGCTCTACCTCTCCCGCCTCCCCTTCCTTCTTCCCCTGCTCTGTTGTTCTCCCTCTCTTCACCCCTCCATCTAGGGCCCCATTCATTTCCTCTCCGGTCTCCAAGGAGCAGTGTACAAAGTGACTAAGCTGTGACCCCTGCCGGACCCTCTGTCCCTCCTGCCCCCATCCCCCCTCCTCTCAGCCGTGAACGCAGCGGGAGCCATGTGGACTGTGGAGCCTCTGGCCCATTTCCTCTCCAGCCCTCAGCTCATCTCCCGCTGGGGTCCCCAGGGGGAGCCTATGGTTGGCCTCCAACAAGGCCCACGTGGACACACATGGAAAAGCCATTTATTTCCAGGATCCTCTTCTTCCTCTGCTCCAGCCCAGCTGTCCCCATCCTTCCACATTCTGCTCTTCCCAAGGCCTGGGGGTTCAGAATCAGGACTGCAGGTTGGCTTAGAGAAGCAGAGATGTGAGTGCAAGACAGGAAGAGGCCAGGAATGAGAATCCCCTGGCCCCGAGTTTAACAAGGGTCACAGTCTGGCGCGATGCTGCCCATAGCGCTGCGGAGGTTCCTGGAAAGTGAGGCAGTGGCCGGAAACCTGGACAGTTGCTGCAGCCACAGCTCTCCCTCGTCCAAGGATCGAGGAGCCCCACGGAGATGCTGCGTCCTCTCAGAGTGCTGAGTTCTGTCCAGCGTTGCTCATGGGCCTGGGTGAGGGCCCAGTAAAGCAGTGGAGTCAACATGCCCTGGTACACGGTGGCCAGGAAACAAATGTTTACTGGACTGATAAACAAAACCCTAACAGTACGTAACTGAGAAAGATTTTGAGTCTTCTTGTCAGAGAGAAGGAACTTAGTGGTTCCACGGACCCCTGGTCAGCTCAGAGGTGACACAGCTTCAGGTGGGTGGGGACAGAATGGAAAAGGCCCAAAGGTGGGGAGCCAAGTGGGGCGTGGGGAATGAAGCCGTCGGGGGAAAGAGAGGAGAGAATTTGAGCGCATTCGCGAAATGTGGACAGCAGTGCTGTCTCCTGAAGGGTGGAAAACACATGGCACATCCATCACATGCCTGGCGATGGTTGGGAGCTCAGATTACCATCCAGGTAGAGGAGAGGAGGGCTGGACATGCTGTTTCAAATATTGGATGACTTTCATTTGGAAGAGGGATTTGAATCGTTTTGCAAAGTTTCATGGGAGGAACTCAACCCCTAGAATAGATGTGTCAGAAAAGCAGATTCCAGTTCAACCTAAACACAAAGAGGGCGAGAACGAGCATTAACTGAACGTGCACTGTGGACCGTGGGCTTACGAGGTGCTGGATGTGTGTGGCTGCATCCTCTCTCTCCAATACCCTGAAGAGGTCGTTATTATTATGCTCGTTTTAAAGATGAGGACGATGAGGCTCAGAGCAGGCGCGTTGCTTGCCCAAGGTCGTGCTGCTAGTACACTGCCCACTTAATGTTGGTCAAGGGGAGAGGCTGAAGGGCACATGTCCCGAAGGCTGCCGTGGGGACTCCTGTGCTGCGAGGGAGGTCCCACTGACCCTCTCGGAGCCTTCCGCCTGGTTCCCTAAAACTTCAGCTCAAACTAGTCAAGAGTCTGGGTCCTCAAGCACGTCCTCATGCCTCCTCTTTTCTAAGTTTAGTTGAGAGACCCCTGCAGGCTGACCCCTCATTGCTCCTGACTCACACTATCTCCTCTCCCTCCCTCCGGAACCTCCGAAAGCAATGAATGTGGGTGCTGATGGGAGCCCTTGGAACCAGGTGGGCTGTGGATGGAGGCCCCACCGTGAGGGTGGAGCTCATAGGGCCTGAGCAGGAGTGGGAGATGAGAAGCTGGGACCAAAACCTGAGAGCCTGCAGCTCTGTCTGCTCCAGGGACTCGGCACTGAGCACGCCCAGGGCAAAGCATGGTAGCAGGTTATGCTGGCTTAGCTAACGCTCCTTGGGAAAGAAAGGAGGGGAGAAAGGGAGGCGCCAACCGTATACAGCACAGTGCCTTGCTCTTCACTGATGCAAGATCACACGGTGATGAAGAGGCAACGCTGTATTCTGAGCACTGTACTCTTTTGTCTCTCAACAGTGAAGGACCGGGACTTCCCTGGTGGCACAGTGGTTAATAATCCTGCCAATACAGGGGGCACGGGTTCGATCCCTGGTCCGGGAGGATTCCACATACTGCGGAGCAACTAAGCCCGTGCACCACAACTACTGAGCCTGTGCTCTAGAGCCTGCGAGCCACAGCTACTGAGCCCGTGTGCCCAGAGCCCGTGCTCCACAACAGGAGAAGCCACCGCAATGAGAAGCCCACACACCACAACGAAGAGTAGCCTCCGCTCGCCGCAACTAGAGAAAGCCCGTGTGCAGCAATGAAGACCCAATGCAGCCAAAAATAAATAAATATTTAATAAATAAATACATTAATTTAAAAAAAAGTGAAGGACCCCCTCAGCTCGTCTCTCCGGGGCCCTGAGCTCTGCCATTCCAGTCATGCCTCCTCCTCCCTTCCAGACAGGCTGCAGATCCTGGCCTGGCAGAGCCAGGTGAACTGTATGTGCCAACTTCGCTGGGCCATGGGGGGTTGGGGGTGGGCTGGGGGCTCAGATATTCGGTCAAACGTTATTCTGGGTGTGTCTGGGAGGGTGTTTCTTGATGAGATGAACATTTGCATCAGTAAAATGTTCCCCCTCCCACGCACGTGGGCCTCGTCCCATCAGCTGAAGGCCTGGATAGAACAAAAAGTTGACCTTCCCCCAAATAAGAGGGAACTGCTCCTGCCTGAGCACGTGGAGCTGAGGCATCCGTCTCTTCTCACCCTTGGACTCGAACTGAAACAGCAGCAGTTCATGGGTGTCAAGCTTGCCAGTCTCTGAACCGGAACCTACACCCTCGGCTCTCTCCCCTGGACTCCAGCTTGCCGACTGCAGACCCTGGGACTTGCCAGGCCCCATAATCACCTGAGCCAATTCCTTACAATAAGTCTCTTTCTATACACACACATCCTATTGGTTCCGTTTCTCTGGAGAATCTGGACAAGTCCTTCCCCGACTCTGCCTTCCAGGGTCCCCCATGAGACACAGTGGGTTCAACAACAGCTCCCAAGTCTTCTGTGATCCTGGGAGAAACAGAAGAGAAAAGGTAGAGAGGCTGGTTCCACAAGCAGAATAGGTTAACTGCAGGGCCAGCACAAACCCTCGTTACAAGCCAGAGTCTCCTTTAAAGTTTTCCTGATTAACCCTGCCTGAATTCTCACGTTTCCTCTGGACACAGGGCCTGCTGCCCACCCTGAGGTGGACGACAGTGCCAGATCACCATTCTTTGCTCCCCAAAGAACGTCTAACAGGGTTCTGATGCTTTCCCAGTTAGGGTGGGGGGATCAGAATGAGGGGGGATATAGTCAATAGGGTAGGGCAAATAGGGTAGTGCCATCCCCACTAGGTAGGACCCTGACCCCCAGGGACATATGCCATTCTGCTCAAAGCTGAGTTAGGACGGCATGGGGGCTGAAGACCCTGTGGAAGGCGTGGAGGAAACTTGGCCGTGGGCTGTGAGAGTGGGACAGCTGGCTGTCCATTGTCCTAGGGCAAGTGAGAGGCCGAGAGCACACGGCGAGCTTCTCTGGGCCCAGGAGGAGCCTGCCTGGCATCAGCTCTGACAGCTCCTGTCCCAGCTGAGCCCTGAGGAACCTGACACCGGACATCAGAGCTCATCTCACTGGGGTCCAGGAATCTCACCCTCCCCCCAACCCCTCCATCAGATAATGGAAAACTCTGATCTCATCTCAGGCTGTCACTCAAAGACAGCTACGGCAGCAGGACATGCTGAGAGCAAGAGGGAGAGAGAGAGAGTGCTGGGATCCAGAGAGCTCTGGACAGCAGGAAAGCTGGTTTCCATTCCAGCTCCAGGGCCCTGACTTTGCAGGCCACATCTAGCTAGGAGCTTGGAAGCTGGTGCGCCGACTCTGTGCTGGGCACTATTTGTGTGTGTGTGTGTGTGTGTGTGTGTGTGTGTGTGAATTTTATCAAACATATGTAATAGTATATTTTAAAAAAGAATGTACAGCTTATAAACTGTAACCCCTACCCAAGACAAGAAATAGAACATTATGAGACCCCAAGAAGCCCCCCAATGCTAGTGTGAGTTTTTTGTTTAATATTCACAATAATCTTTACAAGAAAGGAGGTACTATTATCCCCATTAATCTGTGAAGAAACTAGAGCTCAGAGAGGCTCAGAAATGTCCTAAAGTTTCAGGGATCATCAGCCAAATCCAAACTGTTTGAGCCCAGAGCTCCTGGCAACACTCCACCAGCTTCTCCCCACGAAACCTGAGGAAAACATGAGAGGGGTCAAAGGGCATTTAAGGGCGTGTCTGCACCTCCTGATCTCCATGGTCTGGAGGGCTGCACACGGGGGTCCTGCACTGGGCAGGTGGTTGGACTTGATGAGGTTGGGGCCTTTTTCACCTCCATGCTCGGCGTTTTAATTTCATAATATCATTAAAATCAAAGTTCAGAGAGCACAGGGTCCTCCCCCAGGTCTGCCCCAGCCTGGTCCTGCCCTGCACTACTCTGCATTATGGATGGAGTGAATCACCTGGTAAACAATTCACCCGTAATTGGGACAGTGAGGGTAACAGGAGATCGGGGTGGAGGTGTCGGGAGGGACCAGGTTGGCAACATGAGCCAGACCCCCCATTCTTCCAGGGCTGGGCTTCCAGGGAGCCCAAGAGCCAGGCAGGAACCTCGAAGGGGCAGCCACCCAGGGAGATGGGGCCATGGTGGGTCGGAGGGCCCTGAGCTGACCACTTAGCCTCCTGCAGCGGGCATCCCTCTGCCTGTTGCATCCAGGGACCTCAGGTGAGTGATGCTCAGGCCACTTCTTGCCAGTGGGTAGGCAGGGCCAGGGCACAGAGAGCACTCTGCTTTACCTTAAGAAGCCATAAGAGCTTATGCTGAGGGCCGCTGTCAGGGAGTAAGCATGGCGTGACGTGGTCAGATCTGGGTTTCGGAAAGTTCCCTCCAAAGCTGACAGTTTTCAGGGAGCTGGGAACAGTGGGAAGACCTTTGCAATAGTCTAGGTGGGAGATGCTGGTAGCGTGGGCCAAAGCAGTGTCCATGAGGTTGGAAAGAACCAGTTTCTGGGTTAAATGTCTTTCTTTTTTCTTTCTTCTTTTTTTTTTTTTAGCTGTGCCCTGGGGCATGTGGGATCTTAGGTCCCCGACCAGGGATCGAACCCACGTTCCCTGCAGTGGTAGCTCAGAGTCTTAAGCGCTGAACTGCCAGGGAAGTTGCTACATGTCTTTCTTCTTGATCAGTTGAACATCGGAATCTTGCCTTTGATCCCTTCCCTCCAACTCCATGCTGGCCTCCTCTGCTTCTCTCTCTGGGGAAGCTGCGGGGACAGCGGCGGGGAGAATCTGAAGTTGGGAGTTAAACCAGGGCTCCAATCCCAGCTCCTCCACCTACTGTGTGGCTTTAGACGAAGGGATTTCATGTTTCAGAGTCTGGAGGGATGTCATTGTCATTACAGTTAAGATCAGTAGGATGCAGGAGAAGAGTCCAGGGCAGGGCACGGCACAGGGGGGCACTCAGTCCACGGAAGCTAGTGCGAATGAGCCCTGTGGCTTGGTTGTCCTCCGACGCACTTATTTTCTTAAGTTTGCTGAGGCTCTTTACAGTATGCTGACCACAAGGGACAGAAGAACAGGGTGCTCAGGCAGGTCCTGGGGTTCCATGCTGGGCCCCGAGCAGGAAAGAACGCCTGCTGGCCTGCCTTACCCATGATGACTGTTTACTGCCTGACTCCCTGGGAGACTGGAAGCTCCATGAGGGCGGGGATGAGTGGCTCATTTGTCACTGTAGCCTGTGCCTGGCCTGGAGCACGTGCTCCATAGTTAACAGTTGACGAGTGGATGCTCGATGTGAGCTGACGGCAGGCTGGGGTCGTCTTCCTTTTGCTGCAGTGGGTCTGGAATCCCCCTGGGATCCTTACTCAGCGATCTCTGGGGCCTGAACTGCCGGCGGCCACGTACATCTCCTGAGTCTCGGGAGTCATTGTCTGGCTGATCATCAGATAGACTCCTGGATGCTTGTTAAAATACAGATTCCTGGGGCCTGACCCCTCCCCTCCAACCCAGGGGATTCTGACTCAGTAGTCTGGGATGAAGCCCAGGAATCTACGTTTTTATCAAGCTTTCCAAAAGGTCTGATGGGAACCTCTGCTCCAGTGTCCCACCCCACCCACTTCTACAGCACAGCCTGACAGGAAGCTCCGTGGGCTCCCTCAGAAACCGTCTCTTGTCCACCAACTCCAAAAGGGCTTATGCTGCCTTGTCAAACCCTGCGCAGCCAGCCCACCCTGCAGACCGGTAACAGAGATTCTGGGCGATGACGGGGAGCAGGGGACCCCAGAACTGCCCAGACAGCCTGCATTGCCTCTGTCTCCAGGGCAGCCCCAGGCGACCCCAGGACTACCAGAGGAGGCCCCCTCCACCCAAGGAGGGCAGGGAGGCTCCGTGGAGCTGGCCTGTGGCTCCCGGCCTGCCCCCCTAGCGGTCTTCTGGAGCTTCGCCCCCCGGGCCCACTGATTCCGCAGCTCGTGGCCGTCACCAGCAGAGCGGAGTCTAAGGTGGAGGCCAGGGCATTGGCTCTGGGGGTCGTGAGTCTACGGAACAGAAGCCTGGGGCTGGGGGAGCTGGGAAGGGGGCCCGCGGCCACCTCCTGTGCCAGGCCCTACACGAGGCCGGAGGCCAGCTCCACACCACCTACCCCTCCCTTGCTCTGGCCGTGCCTGCTGAGGGGCTTGGCCAGGGACCCAGGCTGGCTTGAGCTGCATTGCATGCTGCTTTGCATCTATTTGCATGTGTTTCCCATTGTGTTCTGCTGGGCTTGGGTTCTACTGGGCCCTCCTCCAGGCAGTGGGGAAACCTGGGATCATGAAGAAGGGATGCTCAGGGCCCGGTGGGTAGGCCAAACCCTGCCAGCAAGCTCTGGGCTGCTGGACACAGCTGGGCATGACCCGGGTCTGTGATAACAAACACAGGGCCTCTCCTTCCTTTGGCCAGTGTCCGTATCAAAGCCTCAGGTGCAGCTGAGCGACCTGTCCCCAGTGGAGGGGACCTCCGTGGTGGCCACATGTGCAGTGTGGGAGGTCACAGAGCCCGTGGCCTTTGCCTGGTAGCATCAGGCACCCGAGGCCCTGGAGAGGCCCTGGTAGGGGTCACGAAGCATCTGATCCAGCTGGACCCCGTCAGTCGGACACACCTGGGCTGGTACATGTGCCCTGCCCACAACACCGTCAACTGGCTGAGCAGTGATGGAGCCTTCCTGGATATCATCTGTGAGTCAGAATGGTCTTGGGGGAGGGGTCAGGGCTTGCACCCACCTACCCACCTGGGCTTGGCTTCTTGACACACCTCAGGGCCCCTAGGAGTACCCTAGCCCTCCAAGAGGCTCCAGTAGGCAGGAGCTCAAGGCATTGTACCCATTGGTGCCAAATATGGCTCTAGTACAAGGGGTTTTCACCTTTTCAAGGTCATGGGCCCCTCTTACCAGGAAAATGTGCATACGTTCATAGTCACAATTTTACCCATAATTTCAGGGGTGGCTCAGAAAGTCTACCTTTGACCGGCTGAACCCTGAAGAAACAGGGAAGGGGCCACAGTGGGAAGAGAGGGTGACAATTTGGTGCTAAGTCTGAGGCTGAGAAGCTGAAGTTAGAAATCAGAAGCTTCTGCTGAAAGCAAGCACGCATAGCAAACAAAGGATTACTTTTCAGAAGACATAAAGATTTCCAAAACAACCAGCGAGGAAGGAGCAGCAATCCATACAAAAGTGGACAAAAGACTAGAAGAGTTATTCCAGTGAAGAGGAGGACACATGAAGCTAATTAACTTCTAAAACTATTTTCAAAAAATTTTTTTAATTTAAAAATGAAATCAGTGGTTCATGTGAAAGATGAAGATTAACATAGTCTAGAGCTGCACTGTCCAGTAGGGTAGCCACTTGCATGACTTTGATCATCTGGGATGTGGCTGAACCTAACTGAGATGCGCTCTGAGTATAAAATGCACGCTAGATTTTGAAGACTTAATCTAATATATATATATATATGGGCTCATCAATACTTTTTATATTGATTGTACCTTGAAACCATAATATTCTGCATGTGTTTGGTTAAACCAAAAATATTATTAAAATTGTTAAAACCTATTGGTGTTGTTTTGCTTGGTTGGGTTTGGTTATTTTTCCTTTTTGAGATTTGGAAATTTTCACACCTCTGTGGCACACGTCTACCTATTGGACAGTGCTGGTCTAGAGGATTTAAGGAGCTAGGGCTCTGCCTAACGATGTCCACTAAGGATGTGGTCTGTGCAAACTGTGAACTGAGGACTGTGGAGGAGACAGGTGAGCAGTTCTTGGGAAAGAGGTAGGAGCAGAAGGAAGCAGGCAATGTCGCCTGGAGGCACGCAGCCACCCAGCTCCCCAGCAGCAGGGTCCTCACCTGCACGAGCCGGCACCCAGCCCCGGCTCTGCCTGCCCCCTGCGGATCACGCCGTGTGAGTGTACGCAGGAAACAGCAGGGCTCTGCCATTCTAGGCAGAGGAGTGGGCAGGGGCCAGACCAGTGGGACCCTGGGATCCGGGGAGGGACCCCAGACCACAAGCTCCAGGACTTGCCGTGTAATGAGGAGGTGACAGCACTTGCTCAGTCCCCACCTCCCAGCTTTTCTCTCCTCTCCAGCCCTGGTCTCCACCCACATTGTGCCCTGTCCTCAGTCTGGGCTTAGAGCCCTGCGACACCCTCCTTACTGTCTCCCAGCCTCCAGGGAGGCGCTCATCGACCTGACCCTCTACTTCTACCACTCTATTATTGCACGTTGGTCTTGAAATATGCCTTTGGCTTTCTCTCTGCCTTGGAAACTCCTACCCATCTACCAAGACCAAGTTTACATGTCATCCTGTCTTCAAAGTCCTCCTCCCTGAAGCCCCAGGGAGTTTGTCTTTCTACCTATACTCTAGCACTCATCAGACTGTATTGCAATTGTTTGCTTAGCATCTGTTCCCACTGTTTCCCTGGCACATGGTCGGCCCTCAATAAATGGCGAATGAATGAATGAATGAATGACCGAGCGATGTGTACATGGAGGGATGAGTGAGTGAAACAGTAAATGAAGGAGGGAAGGATGGGTAGGCCTGCCGGCCATTCCTCCTCCTGTAGGGCCATGCCGAGCTGTGTTCCCCACCTAGGGCAGCCCCTCTGGAGCCCCACTTGCTGGACCATGGCCACAATCAGAGGCCAGTTCATCATGCTGAGCTGTGAGTGGCCTGGAGCTCCCTGCTGTGCCGAGCTGGTCTGATGGACGGCAGCCGACCTCGGCACCAGCAGCCGCTCCTCGCTGGCCGTCCACCTCCTCCAGGCCCAGGACGACCTGGCTGGAAGAGAATTCACGTGCCTGGGCACTCACCCACTCAGGGTCCCCAACGCCCTCGGCCGGCTCCAGCTAGGTGAGTGGGGGCTGGAGACTCGGTTCTGGGGCGGGGTGGGAGTAGCAGCCCTTTGGAATCAGGATGAGGGGCTCTGGGGGACAGCTGTGCTGGAATGCAAAGTAAGTGAAGACACTGTGTCACCTCACCTCCCAAGGACTCAAAGTTTTTGATCCATACAGTTAGGGGGCTTGGTCTAGGTCTGTATTGTCCAATAAAAATATAATGTGAGCCATATATATATATATATATATATATATATATATATATAAAATTTAAAAATTTCTAGTAGCCACACTTAAAAAAGTAAAAAGAAACAGTGAAACATTTTATTTAGCTTGATATATCCAATATGTTATCATTTCCACATGTAATGATAAAATTATTAATGAGATATTTTACATTCTTTTATTTTCATGCTGTCTTCAAAATCTGGTGTGTGTATTTATGGTGACAGCACATCTCAACGTGGACTGGCCACATTTCAAGTGCTAAATAGGCACATGTGTGTTTGGAGCGGGGGAGCCATTACTGGACAGCACCATCTAGACCATGAGGGATTCTGTCACCCTCATTTGCATCAATTTGCATGAGAGGTGCCAGACTATATCCTTGACTTGCATTAATGTTTCAGGTGCCAGAGGTCTCTCTCTGCCTCTCCCACTCCCTCTATTCGTTCTTGGTCTGATTTCTTTCTCTGTCTTCGTCTGGCCCTGGCAGTCCTATTTATTGCCAACTCAAGAAAAAAAGAATTAAATATTGAAGTAAAAATTTCAGAAAAGCAAGCAGCAGAGCTGTCACATAGAACAATTCTCACAAAATGATTCATGTCTTGGTCTCCAAACGTTGGGTGACTAGCATGTTTTCAGGGAGGTCCACCGCTCAAAATATTTCCTTCCCTTCTTACTCAGTCTCAGGACTGGAAATTCCATCATAGGAGATTCACGGACACATGAAACCCTGGGTTTCTAGGAGTCAGTCCATAAAAACTGAGCACCTGCTATGGGTCCGGTCCTGTGCCCTGGTGGAGAGGTTGTGGGCCTTTAGGGGGAAGGAGGCCCTTTGCCATGTGCTAGGAGGAGGTGCTTAACGCAGAGGTGAATAGGGCAGGGGCCCCACCTGTAGGAGCTGCTCTGTGGTCGGGTGGGGGAGGAGCATCGAGGAACACAGCTGCTATCAGTAAAGCCTGGAGCAGATGGTGACAGGAATTCGGCATATAATGAGAGCCTGGAAGAGGAGGCAGACCGGGCCATGACAGGCTTCACTGTCAACCCCACAGGCCCCGTCTCCTCTGTCCCCCACCATCCCCTCCATGGCCGGCCAGCACCTCACCTCCAAGCCTCTCCACTAGCCCAGACACAGGGGGCACCTTCTAGCCTTATCCTCTCTGTCCCTGTGGAAGCCCCACAGCTGGCAGTGGCTGAGCCCTGGGTGTCAGTGCTGGAGGGGGGGAGACGCCTGGCTGGGATGTGCCCTCCTCGGGGGCACGCCACCTGCCCAGCTCCTCTGGCTGGGATCCCAGCAACGGCAGGTGGAGCCAGGCACTTCGGGGTTCATGCTGCACCCTGAGGGTGCCCAGCTGTGCCTGAGTGTCCGGGGTGCGCACCCAGCACGCCACAGTGGCACCTGCCAGTGCAAGGCCCGAAATGCCTTGGGCAACAGCAGTCGGAGCATCCTGCTGTAGGTGCTGAGTGAGTGAGGGGTGGCGTGTGTGTGGAGAGGGGGATGGGGAACCTCCAGCCATTGCCCTTAAGGTGGAAAGGCACAGGGATTCCCTGCTCCAAAACTTGGAGGCGTTATCTTTCTCAGACACAGGGCCTCAAAAAGCACAAGCCCCACGTGAACGTGAATCGGATGCACTCGAGTTCAGGCAAACAGGACGCCACGCAGTCAGAGTAATCTCCTGTCCCTCTATTTATAGAGGAGGAAATTGAGGGCAGTGTGTAAGTCTAGGGTAACACAGACTAAAACTACACAGACTAAAACTACACATGGTTGTTGGTAGGTGCGCACACGCCTGCGTGTGTCCCCACCCTCGCCCCGGGATATCCAGCTACCCCCAACGTCACCTCACCGCCAGCCGCCTGACCTACGGGAGACGCCAGAGCGAGGTGCAGCTGCCATGGGCCGTCCGAGGCCCAGGGGCACGCAGAGCATCTCTTTCCTGGGGCTTGGGAGACCGCAGCTGGTGACATCGAGCCGGAGAGCAGTGGCCGGCGGCCGGGGGGCTTGGACCCGGAGGTCCTCTATGCCTTCCACGTCCTGGCTCTGAATCACCGCACAGCTGGATACCCCTCTGAGGTGAAGACACCAGGTGCCGTAAGGCTAGCGCCGTGGAGCAACCCAGGTTTGCTCCACCAAACCGAAATCGGGGGCATCTTCCTATCCCCACGGCATCCCCGACTCTGTCCCTTCGCTTCCTTCCTCCTGAGTCCCTCCACCCCCAGCCTCTGTCCTCTTTTGCACCCTCCCCTCAGGTGACCCCCACTGCTGTCTCTCCCCTCCGTCCCCTCCCGGGGAGGTTCTGGAGGCCCAGGCCTAGGGGTGGGAGCCACAGTCGGCTTGAATCAGAAGAAATAGGAAAAGGGGAGGTGCAGGTGCTGGTGATTAAATAAGGATGGGGGCCCGACTCTGCGCCTCAGTCTCACCTCCTGGGACAGAGGTGGGCTCTTGGCTTCCTGCTGCTCTTTCTCCACGCTGGGAATTCCTTGCGTTAAGGCATCCTTTCCTTCAGCCCCAGGCTGCCGAGATAACTGGCCTGCTGCCTCCCGTGCCAGATGTAGGGGACTTGGTTGGGGACTCAAAACCTCAAGAATACAGGCACGCAGAGCATCTCTTTCCTGGGGAGAGACCTGGTCTCCAGATTCTCTGTGTCAAGGCTTGCTCTTGATCACCCACCTCAGGTGGAGGGGGAACCGGATGAGCAGGGCACAGCCTGCTTGGTACCCTATAAGCCACTGTTGCCAAGTTCAGCAGCGGCTCTAAACCTATCCCGTGCAACCCCGCCTAGCGGACCACCCCCTTCAGTGCCTATCCTGCAGTGCTGGATGCGGCAGGAACAGGAATGGTAGTGGCAACGGTGACCTCTCTGCTGGTGTTCCAGTATGCTGCCCGGCACCTGGACGCCTTCCCCTGTGAGTGGGAAGCTCAAGGGCAGGGTTGCTTGATCCTGTAAGGTGGCCCCATAAGATATGGACTCCCCTGGGCAAGGAATCTAGGCTCTTCCTTAGTTGTGACCTCTCCCCAGTGCTAGATGTCCATCAGGACTCCAACCCCCAACCTCGGGCATCTAGGGCCACCCCCTTCTGGGTTCCTGAGTGTCAGGGAAGGGAGGGTTATTCTCCCAACACCTGTGCTGGTTGCTCAAGAAACGCACCTCTTCCTTTTCTTCCTACCGGCCTTGGGCGGTTGCCTGTTCCCAGGGGAGTATGGAAGCCCAGTCATTCTGGAGGTCAGGAAGACTGGGAGAGTGTAATTGCCACTAACTTTACTCTCACACTTCACCCTCAGGGAGCAAAGTCACCAATATCAGGGTTCAAGGGGTGGCCCCGAGGCAATGACAGGTAAGCTCGATTTTATCCCCAAAGCCAGGAAACAGTCCTGAGTTTCATGCGTGATGCTCAGTCTCTCTTGTCCTCTGGGAACAATCTGGGGCACCCCCAGGGCATCTCTCTCTCCTTCTCTTGTGTCTGTTCTTTGTAGGCACTGAATCACCACCCACCACCCCAGGTTCGCATCCTGCACAAGAATCCCCGGGGGCTCCAGTAAACGTCACCATCACAGTGACTGCCAAACCATGAGGCCTCAAGGGGAAGGTGCCAACACGCTTAGGGGAGAAGGTGGGGACGGGAACATCCCCTCGGTCATACTGAGTGTTAAAGCCAAGGTAGCTAAGACCCCAGCTACCCCTTCCCACTGAATATCCGGCTTTTACAACCAGCACGAGGCTCAACTGCAGGGCCTCTAAATGACTTGATTATGAGACAAGTCCTGGCCCAGCTTGTGGAAGACAGAGGTGGAAAGACGAGGAAGACACACGACTGGGGAGAAGATGAACCGGCTGTCCGAGGGCAAGTGAGAACCACGGTGCCGGGACCAGTGTCTGGTGCCGTAGGAGCAAGCTGCCTGCTTCCACACCAAGTCCGTGAACTGAGAAATCCCTCGATAAATCACACGTGATGCTCTCACCAGTGGAGGATTATTCCGATTGCAGCTCCCACAGGGAAAGGCTGACCTGGCTTCAGCTGGGCTCCAGGTTTCCCTACTGGGAGGAAACTAGGGGATGGGAAGCAAGATCTGCAGGCATGTGTGCCCTTCATTCAACTCTAGCAAGAGATGTGCTCGTCTAGTTCTTTCCACATCCCAAGTTCCTTCCCCAAGAACACGAGCTTCTACTGTAGGACCAGCTGAATCAGGGCTGGTAGCAGAGCCAGGTGCCCAGGGTCTTTGTCTCCCTTTCACCTTTCATGTAGGAATAGCACCGAGCCTGTCGTGGGCAAAGGGCCTCACAGTTGCTAGACCCCGGAGTCCGTGCCAACGAGACGGAACAGGGTTCTTGCCACCAGGCTCGGGGAGCTGGCTGAGAGGGGACCCGGCCAAGCCAAAGTCACACTTTGTCAGCCGCCAGCATGACTCACCGACTCCAAGCGTGTGTGTCTGACATCTGGGTGAAACACAAATGCATGCTTGTTCCACTGCCTGGAAGAGTCAGCAGAGCTGCCTCCGCAGGGGACTCAGATGAGAAGAAACAGCGAGAGAGCCAAGGGATCATCCTGCCAGGAATCAGGAAAGTGGCGCCCGAGAGGAGACGGAAAACTGACAGAAACTAAGTTCTCCTTAGGTTCTCACAGATTCAGGCTTCATTAGACGAGGGGTTTCGAGTTCCCTCACAGCTCTCAGGACGGGGGCTGAGGTTCAAGGAAGGCTCTTTTAAACCTGGGGAATACAACAGAACAAGGCGGCCCCACCCCGTGCAAAAGCCCCTCTTGGCTGTCTGGTCTGAGCAGCCCAGGCACTGAGTCTCTCAGGGCAGTAACGCAAAGCTGCTTCTTGAGACTAAACTTCTACCCTGGGGTTCATAGGGACATAGGTAAATGGTAAAAATAGGTGAGGTCTCAGAAGGGACCCCTCTTCCTCACTCTCCTGCTGCTTCTCTCCTAATTCTTGCTTCCTTCCAAAGAAATACTGAGTTCCCCAACGGGAGTCTGCCTGCTTCGGCAGAGCTCCTTGGTGCACGTATTTTCCCAGGCTCCCATAAAATACCTGTCCTGGATCTTTTTCCTTCGGGGCCTGGATCTCTGCAGTCAGAACAGAATGGATTAACTCACTGGGCTCTGGGATGTGCATAGGGGATTTTCAGGGGGAGGACAGGGGTCCAAAAAATGTCAGAGTGAGATGTACACCCACCCCAATCACAGGCTATAAGCAGCTTTACACAAACAGGGAGCAATCAGAGGATCCCCATCTTCACGTGCTACTCTACATGAAAGCAGCATTCTCTTTTAATATAAAATCAAATCAACAAAATAAAACCTGTCAAAGCTACATCATTTAAAATATGTACAATTTCAAACATTACCACTTTAAGGAAAATAAAACATACTTTTCAATATGATACAAAAACATGCATCTTAAAAGTCATTGCTTTAAAAGAGAGCAACACAGATGAAATTCAGTTATAAAGTTAATTTCCTGGCAGTACTGTAGCCGGAATGAGATTTGCATCACAATCAGCTTAGTAAGGATGTATCGGCCCTTGAGGACTCGTTCAACAAAAACAAAACCCAGAAAGAGAGGCTTTTTCTAAAGACCACTTCAAAAGGTTTAAAACATTGCCATTTCACTTACATCTTGTAGAGCACCCATCACCAGACGATCAGTGCATAACCAAAAGAAGGAAAAAAAGGAGCTAGTGAAATTATATAGTAGGAGTGGGCGGAGTTTTATGCTAAAACAAAGACTCACAGTGAATTCTAAGAGAAGAAACACAGAGAGGCCTGACGGATTACAGGATCACTATTACGCTGAGAGAAGGTCAAATTCCCGTGCACGGATGGTAGTGAGGGGGCGTCAGGGAGAGAAATGAGGGCTCCGGGGAAGACCAGGCAATAAGCTCAGAGCTCTGCCCATGGAGGACAGAGGCAGCTTCTCTCGTTGTGGAGTTACAGCATCCGAGGAATCCCATGGCGGGGCGGGCCATGGCTTACAGAACTGGACCAGTTCCATCAGGAGAGTGAACCACAATGCTTTCGGAAAGCAGTATGGAAAAACGGAAGGAGCTCAGATTACAGCTCCAGATAAGTTCAAATGCTGGCTCTGTGGCTCACCTGTGTGACCTGGGGACTTTACCATCTACTTTGTAGATGTGTCTTAACAGTAAGATTTGAGATAGCAGTAACAAGCACCAGCACAGTGCCTGGTACACAGCAGTTACTTCACAAATGTTAGAGCCACCGCCCACGCTGTACTTTCCTCTGACTTCCTGGCAAGTGACATTAGGTAGGACTGTTTTGGGTGACTGTGCAGGGCTAAAAGTTCAGAACAACTCACGGTTAGAGAGCACTCATAACTCCTAAACATGAAGGCAATTATATATATATTTATATTTTATATATCTCAATATATAAAGGCATTTTTTATAAATAAAATACAATAAAAGGGATAACACTTAAAACAGCGTTACTAATAATATAAATAAAGCAGTCCACAATGAGATTGCCCTAAAGGTAAAGTTGTTTTCTCTTCCTAGTGGACAAATCCCGTATTCAAAGTCAATCTTTAAAAGCAGTTTATGACCTAAGGCTCATGCTAATACACCTCTGTTTCCTGAATCAAAATGACTGCCTACAAACATTTACTCCCCAGTTTTCTAAAACTCCCTTTGTGACTGCATTGCCTGTAACTTGACTGGAAACACAGGGTATGTCTTTATATTCTGTGTGCTAGGACTTTGTCCTTTGCTAGCCACAGAAGTAAGGGACACAGCTATTCCCCTCCAAAGCTAACTGCATCTAAGCAACGTGAAGAATAAATCCAGTCAGTATACTACAGGCATGGACGTCTGGAATGGAGAACTTGACTGCAGCATCCCTGATACCCGACTATGAAATCATATCTACTACATTCTACTCAAAGTAATCCTTGCATAGTGACCCAGCTCACAAAGCACATTCCACTAACGGTTCTATTTATAAAGTATATAGACATATGTAAGGGGATATTGATGCATTTATATAGAAAGTCGATTAGTACAGTATGCTAGTCTATTTCACTGCAATTGTTGGGAAACTGTAAAAGTTTTCCACTTATGCTGGAATTGCTTGACTCTTAGGTAGGATCTGTTTCTTCCCCAAAGGGATGCACAATCCAGAAAAGAGCAGTGATCCATAAAGCTTGACTCAAGCTATTAAATACACTTAGAGTGTTGTTTTGTTTTGTTTTAGATGTGGAGAAGAAAAGCCTTCCAACGACAGCTGCAAACGTCCTCGTCACTCAGAGGCGGCAACAATTGTGATTTACGAGCTCTGCTAATCGAAGCTTTAGGTGCCTGTTACAATGACGACATTCAGAAAAAAATGTCTGGAAACTTCAAACCTCCAGATTCTTTTCTGACACTCCCATCTTCCAGGTATTGCCCAAGCTGGAAATCAGAAAACATCGATTTTCAGGGGCTGTGGTACCATGACACATCCTATACTAATGGGAGAGCTTCCGCCGAGATAGTCCCCCTGGAACCTTCCCTTTTTTCTTAAAATGCACATCTTTCTCTTCCAGTCACTACTTGAAAGTCTTATTTTGCTCCTACTCTTAGAAACAGTCAAAAAGAGCCCCATGGTGACCATGTTATAAACAAATGCAATTTAAAATTTTAGTAGGCATTCTTTTTCTCTCTGGCCCTGGCTCCCTTTCTGCTTCTGCAATAACCCAACCAGACTTAACCACCACCATGTCCGTGACACTCTTTGTGATTAGTGCCTAGAAAGCTGGACATAACTTGTGCCCATGTGCAAAGACGGTCTATAGGTCAACTATCACTTCTGTGGAAGGCACTCATCAAATTCACAAGACATCTGCTATTACAAACATCAGGCTACAACTGTGGTTGACTACAAATGTTCTCAGAAAGTCTGATAACATGATAGTGAAAGACAGCTTTCCTTCTGAAAAGTTCCAATGGCCTGTGCAATTCTCTCTTAGATGAGTCAGCCAATAGGTGGGATCATTGTAGGAGGGGCTCTTACTGTCGCTGAGGCTCTTGGACAACGTGGAATGATCCCACTGCTCTCATATGATTGAAAACTATGCCAAACCAGGTTGTTTACTACTGAGGGGGAGGAAGAAATAGGGAGGGAAACTTTTAAGGCATAAATAATATAAAAGGGCACACATTTTAAGATACATTCATATGACATTACTACTACAAAAAATAAATAACGATTTTTCTCTGAATTGAATTAATGTCCTTCACACAGTCCATCCCCAGGCCTGTTTTGTGCAGTTACTGGCTTGAAGTGGAAACATGACGAGGCACCGACACATCCTCAGGTTTCCTGGGATTGCTGAAGGACACCCGAAGGGCTGTCTACAGGAATGCCAGGAGGAGACCATGGTGTCTTTTCAGCGCAGTCCTTTGAAACAGGTGGCAAAATAAGAGGATTCCAACTTAAAATTTTGTTCTCTGTTTCTGAAGGCACACAGCTGTCTCCTGAAAAACAAAGGTTTGGAAATGATAAAGGCTGATTTTTATCAAAGCAGTCTACAAACATTACCTTGAGCAATAAAGAAAGAATCATGAGCAAAA